ACTGCGATTGTGTCCTATGCCTAATATTACATTTGTTCAGAAGTCTTACCTTCTTTTGCTCTTACCGTCTTTGTTGTTATGCATGCCTTTGATTCTCGCATCAAAAATGCCCAAATGCGATTACTCCAGTTCTTATAAATTATTTTATCTTCAAAATCAAAATGAAAAATGTTAGAATATATCATTTTTCATTAGAGATATGAATAAATCTAGAAATGTATTAAGGTAGATGATACTTATCTTTTGTGTTTGTATTTTTGCGGTCTCTTCTTCATTTTTTACACCTGTAATCGAAATGAACAACTATTAGAACAGTTTTTGTAGCTGCACACGATTTGTCGTTACATTTATTTGAACGCTATTATACATAGTAGTATAGTTATTAGTATACTAAACACAATATTGACAATGAACTTAAATATTACCTTTATTATCTCTCTGTCCCTTGAAACTAATTAACAGAATCATAAATCTTAAAAAAAATTTGAACATAAAACTGAAAAATTAAAATAAAACTGAAAAATTAATTTGAAAACTTAATGATATGAGTGTTCATATGTAGATTTTCGGAAAAAAAAAAACAAAAAAAATAACAAAAAAAAAATTAACATAAAACTGTAATTTTAAAATAAAACAGTGAGTTTCCGACTGTAAATTATAGAACAACAGAGGCTTTATTCGACCTTTTAAGTTCACAGATTGCCTGTTACACAGATGTCGGAAGCAAATCCCAATCGGGAATCTCAGAATCATAGATCTGTAAAGATATCTACTATTTTTGTGTTTATTTATTTTTTAAAGTTTATATTCGCGTCAAAATTTTAATCGAAGGAAATTTTTGAAAAAATTGGAAATTTGTATATTTCAACAGATCTAAACAAACTGAAAATTTTTAGATCTAGCAATATATATAATTTAATTAAACAAAAGCAAAACAGATCTATAGGGATATATTCAGATCCATTATGTAATCACGATTTAAAAAAAAAACAGATCAAAACAATAAAAAAATATAGATCTGCATACATCTCTATGTTATCGTCCGATTTGTACCGATATACTATGAATTAGTAAATCGGTGTTGCAAAATCGGGCCGATTTTTCACTGTCGTCTCCCTTTTGATTCGAAATAATAAGATCTCAGGTATTTTTCGGTATCGGCTTCAAAAATTGAATTCAATCGCCGGTGAAACATCGTTCATGGTGAAATTACCGGCAAAAAATGGTCGAAATTTTTAGTAGAGAGATAAATGAGAGAGAGAGAGAGAGAATCGGCTTAAGAAAAGCGAGAGCGGCGAGAAAAATGGCCAAATGAAAGACGCATTTAGGGTTTGCTCTATATAAATGAGCTGTCCAGATACGCGTCTCATAAATGTGGTAGCTTTATAGACACGCGTGACGCGTCGCATTTAAGCTGGTTTTATGAACCGTTGGGCTCATAAATGGTTTTTCCAATCCAACAAGAGATAGTAAAAGTGGTGCAGGTTTTGGACCTTTCATCCCATTAGTGTTTATAACAGCCCATATAATAAGACAAATATGATAATAAGGCCCAAATGTACTCCAACAATTTATATTGGGCTCATAATTTTTCCTGGCCCAATAATGTTTAGAATATGATATGTAGTAGACATATAATTAATACAAATATTGATCCCAAATCTAAGTTGTAGTACTAATTTTTTCATTTAAACAAGTAAAAATATTACAGGTATATAATTATACAAAAGTGTTATATTATAAACTTCAAATTTTTTTCCCAATTTATTATTTCTCAAATTTATATAATATTAAGTTTGAAATTATTAAATTTACAGATGTTCTAACTTAAATTCAACTATATTTATTAAATTATTGCAGGTTCAGTATCAAATTTGTCTATGGTAACACCTTCGTTCCAAACACAACAGCTCCTACTAATGCGTGTTCTATCATTCAAAAACCGAGTATGGTTATATTTTTTAAATTTTTGTAAATTATTTAGAATTGATAATTTTTTGTGTCATTATAATAAATATTGTTATTGATATGTTTATTTTTATTTAATCTTATATAATTTTTCATTTTAGGTATTCCAATGATAAATTCACATCGTTCGTCTCAAAATAGTTCCATATCCCACCTCGTTAATGCTTCTTCGAGCGGTTTGGTACCTTTTATTGACCTTACAATTGAGGATGATGAAAATGCGACATCGACTTCGTTGCTTAACCATGTCAACAAAGGTAATCCTAAATTCATTATCAAATGATCTCACTTGATTTATTTTATAACAAAATCTAAAATTTAATTACTCATATATATTTACCTCGCGTATATTTTTTCAAGTTTCACCATCAAACTTGTCACCTCGGAAGAACGTAGGCGGTCGTCCGAGACTCGCCTTACGACCCATCACAAATGGTAATTTCAAAAACACAATTAATTTGTTCAGTTTAATTTATGTGGAAAAAAATAATCCTCTATATGTACATGTTATATCTTCAATGATTATACCAATAAAATCGAATGTCATGCAGTTTCATATTTGAGCTTGCCACCTAGGACGAATATAGGCGGCCGTCCGAGGCTCCCAATCCCTTCTTCCATTACCATCAACAGATCCACATTATCTTCTGGTTCGTCAAACTCATCAATAAAAAAAAAACTAATTATTTTTTAAAAGATATTTTTAATTTTTACTTATTTTATGGTCTTTTTATCCACGAGTTTGTAGATTTTGAGAATATTTACATCTGTAATTGATTTTAAATAAAAATTACAATGCCACAGAATATTGGGATGTTGGCGATGCATCGTTCCGCTGCCTTCACTGTGGCGCGAGATTTTGGTACTCTGAGCGATTGGGCAAGCCATCTAAACCTAAAGTCCTTAAGTATTCTGGTTGCTGCAACAACGGATTCATCGAACTTCCACCCGTTTACACTCCTCCTCCATTTCTGGGTGAGCTGATTTTTGGGTCAGCTCCACGTAGCAAGCGGTTTCAAGAAAACATTCGGTCTTACAACAACATGTTCTGCTTTACATCCATGGGGGGAAAAATTGATACCGACATAAACAAGGGAACAGGCCCACCCGTCTTCCGTTTGCACGGTCAAAACTACCATTTAATGGGTAGTTTGCTACCTGACCATGGGGCTCCTCCGAAATTTGCTCAATTGTACGTCTATGACACAGAGAACGAAGTATCAAACAGATTGTCTTCTGTGAGGTATATCTTATATTTTAACATTCAAAAGTGAGTACTAAGTTTTTTTTTTCCATTACGGTTTACATCATATTTACTAATTCAAAACAAAATTATGATTATTGCCAAGTAAGTTAAATTGTCAAAGTGGGAAATCATCATGTTTTTGGGAATTTTTAAGCTTGAAAATGAGAATTTTTTTGCCACGTATAAGTGTTAATTAGAAAAGAATGGGATAGTGTGAGTGTAATTGGCAAATGATTTCACTATTTATATAGGTGTTGGGAAGAAGCAATCAATACAAATTTATTTGAATGATAATGATAATTACAATTTGAATAAATGATTGATGGGAAAAATAAGGCAAGTTGTATTAATTCTTTGACCAGCCCATTTAATATAACATTTTAATATATAACATTTTATTGGAGTAATTATATTTGACAAAATTATGGGATATTCAATTTTTTTTTTATTTTCGTAATTAGATTTGAAGAGAAAATAGTGAATTATACCAGACACATTAATTTCACATATTTTATTAAGATTGTTATATTTGCAAATAATATTAAACATTTAATATTTATTTTTTATTAAGAGTTATTAGAGAAAAAAAAATATGGGATATTGATTCTTTGACCAACAACATTTATTTTTTGAATTTCTATTAAAGTTATGAGATTTGCAAAGAACATTGGATATTTAATATTTCATTTTTATTAGATTAATGAGATTAGCAAAATATATGGGGTATTGATTTTATTATTTTAATTAGAGTTATTAAATGAGATAAATATGGAATTACAATTTTCATATTCCGCCTAATTCAAATGGAATTGGAATTTATATATAGAGTTTTTTAAAATTTTAAATTCCCGCAAATTTTTGTTTTTGCTTTCAGATTTCTGTCTCCTAATATGTAATTATAATTGTAATTACTTATAAATTACTTGTTTTGGTTGATCTTTATTTTCTTATTTTTGCAGGAATTGGCAGATGGAGCATTTGAGTTTTTTTTTTTTAATTTATTTTTTTAGTTTTTGTAAATTGTAATATTTTTATTTTTTTACTTTTTTATTACTTTTCATTTATTTCCTTTAATCTAATCATTGCCGTTTGAAAAATGATTACTTGATAATTGTGGAGACAATTGGTACGTTTAAAAAAAATTAAGTAACAACATTAACTTGTTATTTCAGAATTAATTAGTTGCCATTTTTAAAAAAGTAACTCCTTGAATTTCAAAAATATGATCTGTAATTTCAGAAAATAAAAAAAAAAAAAAAAAAATAAACAGTTGTGACGAAAAAATGCGGGAAACTCCCATGTAGGTATAATTTATTATGTTTTATTAAATGCACATCAGCCAGTAAATATATATATATAGATTATCGAATATTCACATTTCTAATTTTTCGTTTGTAATATTATAATTAATTAGTTCATTAAAAATATAGCAAAACGTGTTCACTATAATTATCTATTGAGTAAAATTATATTTTGTAATTTTATAATAATTTAATATTATAAAGAAACTATAGGAATACCTATTAAAAATAAGACATCACAATATAAAAACAATTAAAATTATTTTCCAGTTTTACTTTAATTTATATTGTATCCTAACGTACTTAGGTTTGAGGTTAGAGCTCAAACAACAACAATCAGATACAATTTTGAACGGATAAACCTTGATCAACAATCAACAAACCCTATTTAGCAACCCCTTTCAGCTCCCTTTATATATAATTTTATTGCCCTACCTCCCTACTTTGTAAAAAAAGAGCTAGCTTGATATTCAATGGAAAAAGCCATGAGCGATGATGAGTTCTTTGAGGCCGTGCCGCCTGGTTTTCAGTTTAGCCCTAGAGACGACGAGCTTATCCACTTCTTGTCTTTGAAGATCAACAACGAGAGTATGCCTCGAAACAAGATTCGTGAAGTCGAATTTTACAAATTCGATCCCGATGTTCTTGCAGGTGATCATATTTTTCATGTAATTTTTTTCCTTTATACAATTCCTTTTTTATGAATTTGTTCTTTCTAATTTCTTGAAAACATTTAATATGGCGTTAACATCAACCGTACGTGAAGATCAATTAAAAAATTCGGTGATCATTCAGTTTTATATGTTAATAATAGTTTGCCTCGTATAAGGTGTTTAGTTTTGTTGGAAAAATGCTTTCAAGTATTTGTTATTATTAATTCCGTTCGAGAAAGCATGCATGAGTAAACGTGGGTTCTTTTAATATGATTATAGTTACCATAATTGTTATTACATTAAGTAGGGTTTATCTTTCATGAGTTATTATGTTAATTCGTTAACAGGAATTAAGGAAAAATGCTACGGTCCCGTTATGGAATTATTCCACCGAGGTTTGTAACCGTTAGATCAACTATCTTCGACGGTTACATGATGATCTAACGGTTACAAATCCTGATTGAATGGTTTCGTAATGGGACTGTAGCATATCCCAAAATAAGTACATATATTATAGATGGTGAAATTTTGATTTGCTGTTTTATGGGTTTTCACTTTTCAGTAATCAATCATGACAATTTTTATTCTTCTTTACAAAACCAAAAATCGTGACAATTTTTTTTTTTT